TTTTAAGGTGCAATAATTGTGTGTTCGAGCTGCATTCAAATTATCCTGAGACGGCTCGGAGACTTTGCATATGTGGCATGAACGGGCAGTGTGTGCTGGGACAGTAGCCGTGATATCGTGTCTTTGCGACTGGCGAAGGTGTGCTCTCTGGATTGGCGTGTCTGTGCAGAGTCGAGTGCAGTGACAGCAGCCACATTCACTTCCGCAAACCTTCGAGTTCAAACCAATATACAATGCGCTCTGCCATGGGTACCAACTTGGCGGGTCTGGCACTGTGCCCCTGGCATTGCGTAATCACCCCTTCGTTGTCCTGAAAGCCTGACCGCATTTTCTTTTGCTCACCTCTTTGTGAAGCAGTGGCAGTGTCCACCCAAGTGAACAGTTTCAGAGCTGGTGGTGGGTGTCACCGATCACAGCATGGGAGCAAAACTGAAGTGAAGCTTGTGCAAGTCAACTCGAGCGTGCTGCAACATTGTCAGACTGCCTGTCTGCACCCACGCAAGTGCTGCAGGTCTTCAGGCCCCAAGGTCCCCAGGACCAGGAACACTTTGCAGTCGACCAAGCGTCCTTGCGCCATGGCTGTTCCGACTTTGCCGGACGAGAAAACAGTCCTGCTCCTAGTCAAGGGGCAATGGCATCGAGCTTGAATGCTTCTGCCGTCAGCCACAAGATCAGAGTAGCAAGCTGTTTGGTGCAGGTGGGTTCCAGGTCGGTGATGCAAGACATCATTCCATGGGCTATTGTCTCAGCCTCTTCTGGTGTCCTGCGCAGTCCTGGATCCCATGTTTCTTGAGTAGTCAATCAACATCCGTTTCCTTAGCCTAGGTGCGGGCAGAGCTTCCATCCAAGTTGGCGAAGGCTAAGATGATGCAGAAGACCCCGCCGCTTGCGATCGATAAAGACAGCAAGGCTAATGACCTCACTGGCTACAAGGCAGCTTGTTGTCAAGTGGCCGTAAGCAGTGGGGAAGTCGTCGTGTCTTTGTGCAGACTTTGCCATGTTGATTGATGTGATACAGTAATGCCGGCAAGGCTGGTGTTTGGGATCCTTCTGAGTGCGTGGCTTCACTGCAAACCACTGGATTGTATGAAGCCAGTGGCCTATCGCTCTGGCTGCGCACCGGGGCCTTGGACGCAGTGGCCAATCCTGACGACGACATCAACTGGGGCAACCTTCTCAGTTTCGAGGAGAACTTCTTCAGCAAAAATGTGGTCTTCAAGGCCGCAGTCTCCCGTACGAGCGGTGCCAAGAAGCAGAAAACATCTCGGAAAAGGCTGCTCTGGCCATGCGTGATGGTTTGCACAGTCGAGAGCATCAAGGATGCCACTGCCTACGAGCACTTTGACTCATCCTTGCGCTTGGCCGGAGGCAATTTTGTGCTCTGGGCATGGTATGTGGCCTTATTCAGGGCTCTCCGAGCACAGGACATGGCATGAAGTGTTTTGTTGTTTTGTGAACAGGCTCCTCTTGACTTGCCCTTTTGCGCGTGAATTTCACTTACACACAGGACAAGGAGATGCTGGAGATGCTGTGGGAATGCGGATGCTGCGTGACTTTGCAGCTGCGGCTTTGCGAAGATGAGTCGAAGGCCTGCTTGGCAAGGAACCAAGCTTCAGAACATCTGAAAGTGCTTGGCAGTCCTGCTCTGTCGGACACGTTCCTCACGTTCGCTCGCATGGTCGCTGTCTTCCGCCTCGAGAAGCAAGAGGAAGGCGACAATTTGAACTTGCGGTATGGCAATGCTCCCTACAATGCGTCCATTCACAAGGCAGCAGTGGCTCTTCGTCCATTTCTGGGGCACGGGGGTTTTCAGAAAGCTGCTCTCCAGCTAGACCTGGCGTATGGGAGAGATGTGCTCAGCACGCAGTACAGCAAACTTCATCGACTCGTCAGTGAAGCCAACAAGGCAGCGAATGCAAGCAGAAGTGCTCAGGATCTTGCTTCATGGATGATTCGGATGCTAACCTTGTCATTTCGGACAAGGATTATTTCGCCTTCAAAGGCGACTGAGCAATGGCTGTGCCAGAACCGGAGCACCGGGGCCCAGGGATTTTGGGCTGCTAGCCTGGTGTGTTTGGAGGCATGGGTGCCTCGTCCGTGCAGCGTAGCCACATGCAAGTTTTCACGTTTCACATGACTGGCAGAGCTTGTCTTGCAGCAGGTCGTGGACCATGCGAGGAAGCTGTCTGCGAAGCTGCCAGAAGCAGAGAAAGCCAAGTTGGACACGGTCCTTGACGAGCTCAGTGACCCTGAGGTTTGCTGGACCAAATTTCTG